CAGAGCCTGAGACTCCCTCCCGATTGAAACAGACAACCGCGCCCTCCGCTGCCAGCCCGCTCTGCACGCAGCTCTGCTCCTTTGTATTTTCAGCACTGCGCCTCCTCTGAGTCTTGGTATGCTGTTCTCTTTCCTTCTAGTTGAAGAATTTCCCCTCAGCCACCCTTCCTGTGGTTCTGGGTGATGTCCATTCCGTCTTTTAGTTGTATTTTTGAAGTGGTTGTTCGAGGCAGCAAACTCCAGTGTTTACCTATGCCACCATCTTGGTTTTCCATTCCACTTTATTTAACCCTTATTTCACAAGGGGTTGATTTTTTCTAATGGGTCTCAATATTTTCTAAAATTACATTCTATAATTGTTATTCTATAGAAAACTGTACAGGAAGTAAATTAGAATAACTTCAATTGGAATATAACTTAAATTTTTTAAAATTTTAAATAAATTATTTTTATTGCAGTAAAAGAAATAGGTGGCATGTATATTTTGGCAATGGGAGCTATTCTGTTGTTATTTACTTTAGCAGTCTTAAGTTATTATTGCACCCTTAAAGAATTTGTGATAAAATCATGTAAATTTACTGGTTTTGATCATGACTGAGTCTATTGCTTGTCTTTTTTGTGTGAGCAGTTATGTTTTTAAAAATATCTGTTTTTCCTTTTTGGTTAATATTATGAGCATGGATGCCAACATAAAATGTTTCTTACACTTATGACAAGCCAAATGCACCTTTTAGAAGGTGCTATTGCTACCTGTGGGATAACTGGCAACAAGACAGGCCTTTTCTTTTCAATGGTTGGCTTTTACTTGAAAGAATTAAAAAAAATGGCAGAATTTGTAGCCTTGGGTATGTCCAAGTTTAGGACTGGTTTGTCAAGGTTTTCTTTTGTAAAGGAAATAACAAGAAAATTTCCACTGCTGCATTTACTATACTATTGTAAACTTAAGATTCATTCTTTGATGCTTGGACCAGTGGAGTGAACCGGACCAATGGAAGTGCTGAATTTCCCGTGTAATTTTGTAAATATTGCCTCAAATTTTCTTTCATACACTTCGAGCCTGAGTTTACTTATAAATAGTATATTCTTATTCACATATTGATAGAAAATGCATTTGTGTTAAGTAGCAAGATATATAATATTGTCACTTGTTACTTCCTTGCTTCCTTCTTTTTTGCTCTAGAACTTCAGGTACCTGATTTTAATGGTAACTGCTAAGCAAACTTAACACAAGCTTTTATTGAAAACATATTACATACAGTTATACACTTTGAAAATGATACAAATTTTAAAAAGACATAGACTTTGCTTAAAAATTAAAGCAGGCTTAAAAATTAGAAGGTGAAAGGGGCCTATATAACTGCAACAACGGATTAAAAAGTGAGAAGTAGATTCAGCAAAGTCTACTGAAAAGCATGGTGGGATTCAGACGCTGCTTCCACTTGTGAATCAGGGAAGGCCCCCATAAAGAAGTGACATCTGAAATGGGCCTGAGATTGATCAGTTTTCCAATATGTTGCGGTTGCTAGGATCTCATTTTATCCAGACTTAAAATAAGACTTTTATCTCGGAACCAGGTCAGAAAGCAAGTCCGTCAAAATTACCTTTAGGTTATATTAATAATTAACCTTTAAACACACAAATAACATATAAGCCACCAAAATTGTATATGGAGAGCTGAGCGGACATTATTGCCATGCTGCGTTTATGTATGTCTGGAACCCCAGGGCTGCTGGAATCTCATTCCAAAGGAAGAAGACTGGCGGGAGGCTCACAGTGTGACCTAATAAGAACAGAGATGGAAGTTACTCTGCATGAGGTGGAGGTGAGAACTGAAGAGTAAAAGGAAAGAGACTGAGGAAAGAGGGACTAAGAGGAGAGAGAAGAAAGGTGGGAACACAAGTAGGGAATGGGTGAAAGAACAGGAAAAATGGGCACAAAAAACTCACCAGCGCTTCCTAAGCCAAAATGCAAGAGCTGTCAGAAGCACCAGGGGCACCATCACTGCCAAGATGATCCAGCCCACGGAGCCTTGATGATGTTCTGTGGGTTTGGGTGCACACAAGGTGTCATTTCAAACCCACCCCCTGTTTACTGCCTTTCCCTGGTCTGCCTTTTTTATTTGCGTGTTCGCCTCACTAATCTTTGTTCTTGTTTCCTCTCTCCTCCCTCTTCAGAGTTGAATCTTTCATCTAACCCTCAACATCTTCCTACTTCTGCAGGTCTCTCATTTTCAATTCTTCTATTTATTGAATTAATTATTTTCATTCTTTTGGGTCTGGAGTCCATAAATCCCAAATGTTTTCCTTGGCTCTCCTGCTCTGCTGTGTACCATCTACCCCTATTCTCAGTGCGGGCCCCAGTTTTTCTTACCCAGGTAGAGGAGGATGTCCTGGCCTCCTAGGCTCCTGTGTCTCACCCGGCAATACAGGCCAGATGTCTCAGTGGTTTCCACCTCCAAGAAAACCTGAAGGTACCATGTGCCATCAGCATTGGGCAAGATACCACTTTGTTGAGTGCCCTGTTGTACCTGTTCACCTCGCATCCACTTTACCCAAATTGCCTTTGGATGGAAGCCAGAGACATGGCAAACCAGGATCTGTCGGCCAGGACCAGAATTAGAGCCAGTGGACAGCCAGGCCTCAGGTTTTACTGCAGAGAACAGGAGAGATACTCAGATAAGGACTCTAACACAGACTCGGAGGTTCATATCTTCACATCAGCCTAGACCAGCGGTTCTCAACCTGTGGGTCATGACCCATTTGGGGGTCAAATGACCCTTTCACCGCGGTTGCCTAAATACATCCTGCATATCAGATATTTACATTATGATTCTTTACAGTAGCAAAATTACAGTTGTGAAGTAGCAACAAAAATAATTTTATGGTGGGGGTCCCCACAACATGAAGAAATGTATTAAAGGGTCGCGGCATCAGGAAGCTTGAGAACTACTGGCCTAGACAGACACATCTATCCCACGCTGGGAATTCATCACACATTATCCTTCTCCCCCTTGACTCCTTATCCTTATCCTCAATTTAAAGGGAAGGTGGTAAGGTATGATTTTAGAAAATACTTGGAGGAAGGATATGGGACTGACCTTGTCTCTGGAGATAGGCCTTCCCTGCATCAAGAATACTCGAGAGGAAACGTGGGCAGGTGTCACTGAGCATCCTCTGTACTATTTTGTTCGTGACATGGTACTGATTGAATCCTCTGCTCATAAGCTGAGCTCTAATTTCATCCTTTACAGATGGCCACCATGAATTGTTCTGGAAGTGCATGAGCTCTGATCCTTGATAAGCGAATCGATAGAAGGCTACTATGGATCCCCCAGGGTGCAGCTCACAGCCTCCTGTTGCCTGTATCTCAAAGGGATCTAGGGAAGAAATGTTGTAAATTAGAGGAAAGAGGGAGAAAAGAT